GTGCCCGGCGGTGGCGGCGCCACGTGGCGGCCCAAGTGAGGTGGGGCGGGCGCCGTCCCGAGGGCCTGTGCGCTGGGTGCTGCGGAGGCGGGAGGCGCGGAGACATGAGGCGCGGAGACGGGTCCGAGCTGCCGGCCCCAGTCTAGGCACTCCCAACCCGGAACCCCGCAAACACGCTCGGCCTTGCACGACCCCGTAACGTGTTGAACTTCCTGAGTTCCCGTGCGCTAACTGCAGTTGGCTGTTGTCCCTGCTGCCTAAGCCCCTTGGGCGGAAGGCCTGATGCAGTGTCACAGGTGGCCAGAGAAGCTGAACGCGGTAGGAGTAAGAATAACGTCCCACCTCGCTTCACTACTGGGCTAGAGCCTGTGCCCGCCCAGCCTGGCGCACACGCCTCGGACCTCCACTCTCCGGAGGCAGGGGGATCTCTGTGAGTGCTAGGACAGCTCCGGCCACATTGAGACCTAGTCTCAGAAAAGGGAGAGAAAGCCCAGATGAATTATTTCTTTTTCAGATTCCCGTCGTAACTTAAAGGGAAACTTAACACAATGTCCGGAGCCCTTGACGTCCTGCAGATGAAGGAGGAGGATGTCCTCAAATTCCTTGCTGCAGGAACCCACTTAGGTGGCACCAACCTTGACTTTCAGATGGAGCAGTACATCTACAAGAGGAAAAGTGATGGTCAGTTACCGCTTTGGATAGTCGGGGTGAATTTCTTCTAAGCTTCTGACTGCAGCGTTTGGGTGGTGCACAGCCCTGCTGTGGGCAGTACTGATACTGAGTGCTCTGGTGTGTTTGGAGGGACAGACACTACAGCTGCTGGGTTGGGTAATACTATTTCTTAGAGTGCGTTCTGTATCACAGAGTCGTAGGCATCGCCTGGGGGTTTAGTGGGAAGTAGAATGAGGTGTGAGGGTAAACTGAGAAAAATTGGCGGGATGGGGTGTGTGTGTGAGAGAGAGTGAGTTCACCAGTTAATTGAGATACGGGAGTGTTGTGAGGGGTTGGTAGGATGGATTGGATCTGTATGCGGTGGTACCCGATGGAGGGTGATCACAGGGGAAAAGATGGAACTGAAACTGCACACTATTAAAGCTCAGAGTGGAGGCCATGCTTGGCCAGTGAACTTCTGAGTGTCGGAAGTGTGCTACATTGAATGAGGCAGGATTTTCGCTAACACCAGTAGAGCGTGCCTCTATGACTGGAGTTGATAGTGGTCTCTGCCACATATATGCAGTCTGCCCTCCTACAGAGTGTCTGTTTCTCAGCTAGGCTGTGAGCACACCTATCTGGGGCCTTGGGATCAATCCCTAACACCCCTTCAAATTCCATTTGTTGCCAGGTAACATTTGGAAGGCAGGTAGATTTCTGAGTTCTAGGCCAGCCAGAAAAGTCCGCAGAGTGAGTGCCAGGGTGACAAACTCTTGAAATCTCACCTAGGTATCTACATCATAAACCTGAAGAGGACCTGGGAGAAGCTGCTGCTTGCAGCCCGTGCTATTGTTGCCATTGAGAACCCTGCTGATGTCAGCGTCATCTCCTCCAGGAACACCGGGCAGGTGTGTAGAATGGAGGTTAATCCACAAAAGACATTGGAAGGATGTAGAAGAGTGGAGGCGTTCCAACGTGGACACCCCAGGAGGTCACTCTACCTGGGCTCTGTCCTAGTGGCGTGGGGGAGCATAGGCATTGTCCAGTGACGTACGGTCCCTTTCCA